CTAGAGTATATCTTCTAGAAAAAATATCCAATCTTGATTTATAAATTGTCAGTGATGGAGATTTCAAACTGGAACATATGCCGAGAAGGGCTACTAGGATGATCAGAGAAATGGAAAACCTACTTTACGAAAGGAGACTTAAGGATCTTGGCTTGTTCAGCCTAACAAAACAAAGGTTGAGGGGAGATATGATTAGTCTCTATAAATACATCAAAGGGATAAACAGCAGGAAGAGAGAGGAGTTATTTAAATTAAGACCCAATGTTAGCACAAGAACAAATGGATATAAACTGGCCATCATAAATTTAGGCTTGAAATTAGACGGAGGTTACTAACAGTCAGAGGAATGAAGTGCTGGAACAGCTGTCCAAGGGGAGCATTGGGGGGGAAAACCTAACTTGTTTCAGGACTGAGCTTGATAAGTTTATGGAGGGGATGGTATGATGAGATTTCCTCCAATGGCATATGGCCCACCTGTGACTGCTGTCCCTAACAGCCTGAGATGGGGAGGGCTCTGAGTCACTACAGATGATTCTTTCCCAGGTGTCTGGCTGGTGGATCTTGCCAATATGTTTGGTGGGTCTAACTGATCACCATATTTGGTAGTCCGGAAGGAATTTCCCCCCAAGTCCGACTGGCAGAGACCCAGGCTGTTGGGTTTTTTGCCTTCCGCTGCAGCATGAGGTATGGGTCAAGTGCTGGTTTGAACTACAGTAAATGGTGGATTCTCTGTAACATTAAGTCTTTAAATCAGTATTTAAGGACTTCAGTAACTCAGCCAGAGCTTACTACAGGAATGAGTGAGTGAGATTCTGTGGCCTGTGATATGCAGGGCAGACGAGATGATCATGATGGTACCTTCTGGCATGAGTGGAGATTGGGAGGTGCATGTAGGGGTGTCACCCTCCCAACTGTATACCATAGATTTTCACACTGTGGGACATGCCCCTCTAAAGGGTGTGCAGAGGAATGTTCAGAGGGGTGAGTCCTGTTGTGCATGGCTGGCCCATGCTGCTAGGCACTGCTGCTCGCCCCCCTAAATGTTCCTCCAGGCCCCCATAGGGAAGCACACCCCACAATGTGAAAACCTCTGGTATACGTTCAGGGGGGCAAGTGGCAAAGCCAGGTGACTTGGGCCAGCCCCATAGGGGAAGAGGGAGGAGAGGCTTGGGCCAGCTCCACACAGGGGGACGTGGGGAAGGAGCACCATCTTCACCCCCAACTCACTCATTAAGTACACTGTAATTTAAGTACCACTAACAATCAGTAAATCTGAAAGTTAGACTTATACCTATTAATAGTATTAAGCCCCCTGCCCCAAATATAGAAGTCAAACTATGCCTTGTGGCCTTAAAGTCTGTGAGTCCATGAGAATCCACCACAATGCTTGGTAAATTGTTTCAGTGGTTAATTTCCCTCACAATTAAAAATGCATGCCTTATCTCCAGTCTGAATTTGTCTAGCTTCAACTTCCAGCCATTGTTATATCTTTCTCTGCTAGACTGAAGAGCCCATTATTAAATATTTGTTCCCCATGTAGGTACTTACAGGCTGTAATCAAGTCGCCCCTTAACCTTCTCTTTGTTAAGCTAAATAGATTGAGCTAGAGTCTATCACTATAAGGCATTTTTCTAATCCTTTAATCATTCCTGTGGTTCTTCTCTGAACCTTCTCCAGTTTATCAACATCTGTCTTAAATTGTGGGCACCAGAACTAGACACAGTATTCCAGCAGCGGTCCCACTAGTGCAGATTATTGAGGTGAAATGACCTCTTTGAGATTCCCCTATTTATGCATCTCAGGATTGCATTCACTTTTCTGGACATAGCATCTCAGTGGGAGCTCACGTTCAACTGATTATCCACCACAACCCTCAAATAATTTTCAGAGTCACAGCTTCCCAGGATAAAGTCCCTCATCCTGTAAATATGGCCTACATTCTTTGTTCCCAGACAACTGAGTAAGCAGCATACACCTGAAGCAACTTTCAATATTTTTGGCATTAAATCTACATAGACCCCCTCCCTCTGGGAAGCATTTATCACAGACGTCCCTGTACTCAACTGTGAGGAATTACACCCATTAGTTGTGAGTGGGTGGGAGAAGAAGAGATGTTGAAGTGACATAGGCCTCTGCTTAATATTTACCTACAGGAATTTCCAGATGTGTGTAACCTATATCTTAAAAACAGAGAACAAATCTTTGCTGCAGCAGGTATGTTATAAACCAACAAGCACAATTTACTGTGAGATACTCCCCAAACAAAACAGGAGAGAAGATCAATAGGAGACAACTTTATTTACCGTTTCTCAGTCTGTAAGGTACATACGGTCCTTCCACCCCACTAAAGCGTACCTTCAGTGTATATACTCAAGCGCTAAAGACTGGTAGGAAAAGAAAAGCTACATCCTTTAAGAATTCTAAGAGAATGTTTTGAGAGGGATAAGTGCCGAGGTGTCTGGCCTAACAAACTTGACAGGGACTCATTAAAGGCCCAGGCCTGCGAGAACACTGCATAAGATGCTTGTTTGCATTTGCAGGACTGAGCCCATAATGCGTGCCCATATTGTGGTCCATAGAGCTTTAAAATGAAGCCCCTGCTCTGCTCTGCCCTACCCCCCTCTCTGTAATGACTGCAAAGCAAGAACAGAGCTGATCACCAGCAATGAAACTGAAGTTGAACACACACCTATTACAATGATGCATGGCTCTTTGGCAATTTATCAATGAGGACCTGGGGTTGGGGACACCTGTGCATTAAATCAAATGACTGAATAGATTAACTGATTGCAAAGAAATGCCTGTGATCAATAAGCAAGGAAAGGAAAGCTAGGTCAAAAGACACAGAATATAAACACACCATGCCTGTTAGGGAATAGTGTTTACAGTCATTTGAAACAAGGCACACAGTTTTGCTGGTAAATGTACATAGAGACAAACAATGCTATAAATGGTTATTGATGCCTATCTAGCTGGAGCTGTGGTTTAAATAGTTAAAAGCCCAGTACAGACATGCCAAAACTGCAAGATTCAAGGAGGAATGCACATCCAGAGCGGCCCACCAGCTTCACAATCAAGAAGGGTCACTGTGTACTTTAATGGGTAAAGTACATTGCTCAACAATAGTGCAGTAACAATCCATTTACGAAAAAAGAACAGGAGTACTTGTGGCACCTTAGAGACTAACAAATTTATTAGAGCATAAGCTGTCGTGGGCTACATGCATATATGCATCCGAAGAAGTGGGCTGTAGCCCACGACAGCTTATGCTCTAATAAATTTG